AAAAGTTTTGTTTGCCGAAATGTATTCTGGGTATTTTATATGCGTTTAACAAGACCAAGATGGCTTCCTATTCACAGGTTGATGTCGATGGCTATCCCGCATTTCAGTTAGGAGGATCACGCTTCGACCAGGTACCACCCTATTCTTAACTTAGGCATACTTAGCTCATAAATCGGTAGACTGTGCGAACATCGACTGTAAATGTCGATGGCGTCAACCCGTTGAAAACGTGCCTGTGTCAACACAACTAGGCCATGTCTGCCCCGCCCCGGTTCATAGTATGTTTAGCGTACTGGGGTGTACTGACTAAACGTGATTTTTATCACTATTACGCTCTTCTTTTCAGCAATTGTAGCATTTTATATTTTTTGTTTAACTGTCACAATAAGTTGTTCTTTTTCCCCCTACATTCATTTCATGTAAGGGACGACGTCAAAAGATCGATGTCGGATAAAAAACTTAATTCCTTTAGTTTTTTTCCAAACCCGGGCCCCCTACCCCCCACTGAAACTTAATTGATAAATATTGGTCATGGCGTCAGACTACATTCACCATTAAATGCAAATTGATAATCGGACAGTAGTATTGCATAGCAGTTGGTTGTCGGGTGGGTGTAAAAAGATTTTACAAATGCACCTCATTTGACGCACAGATTTACACTCGAACCAAACCATTTTTCTGTTTTTTTTCCCTTTTCGGTTATTTCTGTCCATGATTGGATAGAAAAAAAACGAACTACAAATACTCCAAGTTTTTCTTGACTTCATTAAAAAATAAAATTGTTTTTGTAGGATGGAAACTTTTTGAGGTTAAAACCCCCCACCCCCAAACTAAAGGAAATAAGTTTTTTATCCGACATCGTCCTAAGTTGTTTAAATAGTAATACATATTTTTGCAAATTCAACTATTTTTAACGAAAAAATGAAACAAAAAATGGGATTTAGATAAAAAAACAAAACGTTAATGGATTGTTTTGTTTGTTTCATGAACCCTTTTCACTAACTGCATTTTTTAATGAACTTTACTCCAAAATACATATGTAAACTGAGAACAGACTTCTCAAGGTAGAGTGAACCAAGTGAGTATTGGTCACCAGATCCGGGAAGAGAATAACACACTGGAGAGGAGCACTTGTAGCCAAGGTGTTTACTGCTCAACTGCTAGGCCCCGAACTGAGTCTAAATACTCATGAGATGTTCCATACAATGTATCAATATCATTATGCAAATAACTAAACTAAATGTCATAGCCTCAAATCATTACAACACACTTTATATAGATGTGTTAATGCTTCTCTACACACCATTGGCTTTGGCTGTCCGTGGAGGTTTCTCATGTATTATGTTTTTCATCCACAAATGTGTGTACTGTAGAATACTTTATTTTAGCTGGAATTAATTTCCACTGAAAAGACTTTTGGTGTCTTTTGTATGGAATTTATTTTGTCTGCTATTTGACAAGTTGAATGTAAAATACAATATGTATAAGAAAGAAAGTATATTCGCTAGATTTTATTTTCACTTCAGCGAAAATAGCAGAAATAAAACCTAAGCGATAATTAAGTATTTTACAAAAAATCTTAATATATTCATTTTCAAGATGTCTCAGCTGGCATTTTTATTTCAGAGTTCATAAACAGAAAAAAAAAAAAAATGTAATCTAGATTTTAATCTCATATAGCCATGGAATATGTTGACAAAAATACAATGGGGGGAGGGTTAAATACGATATAACATACACAGACGAAAAAGCAAACATATTCTAGATTCTAATCTGATTGGACAGTAACCTCATTTAGCCATGCTCTACTTGCTCTCTGAATCACAAGATTACTATCAGGGATGGACCATTTAAAATTTTAGGGAAATTCTGTAGTGTTACTTGAATGACATTGCCCCCTTTTGATGTGATACAATCTATTTGTTAATTTAGTATCAAAGGTTTGGATTTAGGAAAATACAAATTTTTTAGTTACTTTTCCATTTAAAGAGTTAAAATTTTTATTTTATGTATTTCTCCGAGGTATGCGCAGTTTGAACCAAATTCAAATTTTGTCCTACTGAGCATGTTACTGCACATATATTCAATGCATTATGGGATAGAAAATTCAAATTTTACTCTACTGAGCATGTTACTGCACATATATTCAATGCATTATGGGATAGAAATTCAAATTTTACTCTACTGAGCATGTTACTGCACATATATTCAATGCATTATGGGATAGAAATTCAAATTTTACTCTACTGAGCATGTTACTGCACATATATTCAATGCATTATGGGATAGAAATTCAAATTTTACTCTACTGAGCATGTTACTGCACATATAGACAATGCATTATGGGATAGAAATTCACATTACATATAATGCAAACTAAAAATACCATACCAGAAACTCACTCATTTAAATCTCAATTATGTGACTACAATTTTGTTCTCTTTTTCAGTATTTTAAACCATAATGATCAAAACATGAAGACGATAGCAAAATGTCTTTAATTCAGTTCTCAAACTAAATAATTTTAATCGAGAAAATTTCCAACACCCAGAATTACAAGTGCAGACCCTAATTAGTTTAAACTCGTGTCTAATAGAGAAATATTATTTAAAATCATTGTAGTTTTCCAATTTTGTTCATTTTTGTGGTAATTAACAAAATTATAATTTTATTTTCTAGTCAACTGTTCTAGGTCGATACAGACATTTTCTTGACGTTGTAGATCCCCGAACCTTATTCACAAGCAAGGTAAGTCTGTAAGTGGTACTCAGTAAATCCTTTTTTCCACTTTTCCACTTTTGACAATTTTCCTGGTCTTCTTTTGACCAGGAATGACAGCTAGTGACTTTCAGGAAACTGGATTTAAATAAATAGAATGGACCTAGATGCTATCAATGCAGTGTGGAAATTTGGCAGATCAAGATCAAATAGCGCCCCCAACATCATCCTTGCCCCTAAAATCATTTAGGAGTACTTGTACTGTTGACCTTACCATTATTAGAGGAAAGACTAATTGTGCTATTTGTTTTTCTTCAACAGACGCAACTACAGAATTCAATACAATTGTTAGAAGATTACAAAAGTGGGACCCTGTCCTCAGACACAACAAACAGACAACTATGGCAAGCACAGAAAGTCAAACAGGTATATTAGTACATGTAACCGCAAAAAAGTTCTGTTCCTATTTGTTCCCTCTCATTGAAGGGGGTTGGTCGTTGCGGCACGCATGGGTCTCATATGAACAATGATGGCGATTTTGACTGTTACGCAGACCACAAGTAGAAACTTAGACTTGGTAATTATTTTGGTGATTCGAAGGTATCGAATGAGTCATCGATAGTACTTAGTGCATGTCGCGTTCAAAACTATTATTCATGAATTCCATTGGAATAGCGCATTGGATTGTGGGAATATCAATGTTTATAAACACAAATGTCACACATGCGCGGTACAACGACCACCACGATGATCACCGTCCTTTACAGTTGCATTCTGAGAGCATTTATTCAGGTCTTGATTATTATACGAAATGTTTAATGGTCTGAATGTGTACAGGAAAAAACAACAAGCTCTCCCCAGGATTCCAACAACACCTCACAGTAATTTAGAAATCCATGTACATTGAAAGCGGATGAAATTCAAACAAACAATCAAATGGAAATCAAAATGAGTGCCAGCATTCAGAATGCCACTCTTTGTGTGTCCAATGTTAATTTGTATTTTATAAATTCAGGCTTAAAAAAAATATTTTTAACATAATTATAGTATTTTTTTGTTTTTGATGCACCAAAAGTTAAAACATCGCTAGAGGGCGATCTATTGCAGTGGGCAATGTTTCTAATAAATACAATATATATTTGCCACATTTAATCCACACTATTAAGTAAACATGTTACATAATAGTCCCAAGACTCCAATTATGTTTTTAGAGTACAATGTCAGGAGGATTCACTTTTTGTTCGTAATATTTTTAGTATGGTAACATAAATACGCAGGTGTTAGAGTTCTCAAGGTGCATGTCATGCATGATATAGTGTTTATGTGCAAAGTGCACCGTCATCATCAACAACAACAACTAAATAACTAAATAAATAACTAAATAAATAAATAAATTAATTGCACTATTAATTATTTAATAGTTAATTAATTATTTAATATTTCATTCATTCATTCATTCATTCATTCATTCATTCATTCATTCATTCATTCATTCATTCATTCATTCATTCATTCATTCATTCCCTTTTACCAGATCAGTTTTATACAGTTGGTTTTCTATGACAAATGTGAAGTCAAATTCAAAAGGAGATAATTGTCATGCAGTGTGTGTTGAAATTTTTGTGTAAACATTAGTCATTAATATGTCAGATAAAGGACAGTGCATGTACATGTAGCTGACTTTTGAACTTTGGAAGGTGACACAACTGATGATGAACTTTGACCTACTTGAAACTCTTGTTCAAACCAAGCAAAATGTGAACTTTGTTTTGTTTGTAGTTAGCTGAACTTTAAATTACTGGTATTTCAGAAAATCTTTTAATTTTCAGGTCAGGTTTCTTCTTCCTTCATGATAAATTTTTACAATTGAATATTAATATTATGAAAATTATTAGGGACGTGATTAGATGCATAATTTGCAGAGACACTTTGATTAATGGTTTTAGGAACATTCACTGACTCTAGTTTTCAGTGGAGTATGAAGCGTAAATATTGCACAGCAGTGCCCCCATGTGGTGATGGATATGTCTACTTTGTTTTTATAGGCTATTATTCATCCGGACACTGGTGAGAAAATATTAATGCCTTTTAGAATGTCGGGTAAGTCATCTTTTTATTCTCCAGTACTGTATAGGTAGATATTATTTTTGCTTACAGAGCCTCACAAAAAAACAATGTTTCTGGTGAAATAGTTTTTCAAAAATGGGACAGTGGTAATTTTATTTTTTCTAGAATATTTGACGATACACAAATTCTGCATTCAATCTGCTAAAAATAAAATGCCCAGTGAATACATCTCCCTGCACAATATAACACTGGTTTGCCATAGGAGTTTACAAACTGACACAACCCATATTTTTATTTTTTTTTTATTTCACAGGTTTTGTCCCATTTGGTGCTCCAATTGTAGTTGGTTTACTTCTTCCAAATCTTACTCTCAAGGCAACTGTATTTTGGCAGGTGAGATATTTTTTACATGCATTGTCACTTTAATTATTATCTGGTTTTTAATTTTGTTAACTAAAATTTGCTAAATTAAATAGTAAAAATGCTAGGTTTGTAAACTTAAAACATCAAAATGCCAATGAAAATACTAAGTTTTACAGTATATATCTTCTAGAAGGTTTATTAGTCCCCGGACGAAGTCTGAAAACAGGGACTTATAATTCGGTCTCCGTGCGTCCGTGTGTCCGTCTGTCCGTGCGTCAGTCTATCCAACGTCATATTTCAGAATCCTGTGGACCGATTCCGTTCATTCTTTGCATGTGCCTAGTACCTTATGTGGGACATATACGCGTGCAGTGGTTTAGCGATTCGATTCAAAATGGCCGACTGGCAGCCATCTTGTTTTTTGAAAATGTTGTATTTTGGACATGCTTTGTCAGTTGTCATTCAAACTTGGTTCATATATTATACATGTTAGGATACATGTCCATGACGATTTATTTCGCAATTGGATCAAAGATGGTCGACTGGCAGGCTTCTTGTTTTTGTTTTTTTATGCGGTATCTTGGACGTGCTCTGTCAGTTTTCATTCAAATCTGGCTCATACATGTACTTTATACATGTTAAGATGCATGTTCATGACAATTTGTTTCAAAATCTGGTCAAGGATGGCCGATTGACAGCCATCTGACTTTTTGGCCTTACTACTATATTTCCACAATTTATGTACCATTTTCATTCGTATTTGGCACATACATCATACATATCAGTGTGTTTCATAATCAGATCAAAGATGGCTGAATAACGGCTGTTTTTATTTTGGCCATATTACTATGACACGAAACACGTGTTTTGATGTAAATAAACAATCTGTTGTATACGCCACTTGGAACTCAAGTTTCAAGGACACGCTCGCGACAACCCCTCCGCTTTAATATGACGAGCACAAAGAGAATTTAACAGGGACTGTGTCATTTTCAATGACTTGTTAATTTTAGCCTTGCGAAAAATCCAAGTTTGTCCCCTCAACACAGAATACCCTCTCAACCCTCCCACCTTCTCCAAACATAATAGACTGAATTACGGTAGTACTCACAACATTCGCAAGTTACATGTATCAGAATATGACTGATTAATT